CTCATCGTAATTCCAGTAATATTTGTCAGAGAATCTCACTCCAGGCAAGTTGTTTTTATAAGTATAGGTTTACGGGATTCCTCTGGTTCTAATATGTGCATTAGACAGTTTCCGTAAATTCCTCGACAACAACACAGACGGACATTCTGTGTGTGTGTATGTGTGTGTGTTTGGTGTGTTTGTGAGAGAGAGAGAGAGAGAGAGAGTGTGTGAGAGAGAGAGAGAGAGAGAGAGAGAGAGAGAGGGCGTGTGTGTGTGTGTGTGTGTGTGTGTGTGTGTGTGTGTGTGTGTGTGTGTGTGTGTGTGTGTGAGAGAGAGAGAGAGAGAGAGAGAGAGAGAGAGAGTGAGAGAGAGAGAGAGAGACTGGGATGTTTAAAGGTGTGCCTTACGTAAAGGGGCCACTGTTTTTCCCAAATGATGACTAACTTGAGAGCTAAATTAGCTAAAAAGAGGTAAATAAAAGATAAAAGTGGTTTTGTTCTTTAAAATATTTCGCTAAAACATTTTGCCGCACTGGTCTGTTTTAATCTTTGAGTGACAGCAGCTCACATATTTCCCATAGCTTGTCTCAGTGGTCTTGTATTCTCATTTGAGAAAGGAAGTCAAAGATTAAAATCTAAAGATGTATCAAATTCGACAGCTCTGTGTGCAGGACTCTGCCCAAAGAGAACATCTTTTTTTTCATGTGCCTGCATCATGAGACCCTCAGACATCCTGAGTGGCATCATCCTGTCAGTACACAGTGCTGCAATGAAGCATGGGTAATGGAGGATTCAGGGCGATGATGGAGTGGCGCATGGAGACCAACATGTTGATAACTACTCTCCCTTGCCTCCCTTTTGACCTGATGCCAATCATTTGTTTTCCACCAGCACTCCACCATCTGTCTCCACACAGAAAAACGCACACACCCATCTGCACAATCTCTTGTGTTTAATTTAGTGGATGTTCATTTGTTTACCATCCATGAAAGAGTATACTGTCTATGACACGGTAATAGAGCTGCAACTAACAATTATTTTCATCATCTATTGATGTGCCAATCATTTTTTTAGATTAATCTTTTGGTCTCTAAAACAACAGAAGATACTAAAAAAATGTTGAAGATGATTGATGATTAAATTGATGATTGATATTAAGGTACATTTTGTCAACAAAAAAAAAGTATTACTTTTACATAAATGTTGAGTACACCAACGTGTATTGTATGGGTCCCCAGAACATAGAAACTGCCGGGTGTTAACTTGCATATGTTGGGCAATTATGTTGGGCAATATATAGTCAATAAATGTCAGAAAATTGTGAAAAATGTGCAAGATGGTTTCCTCAAATCCAGTCCAGTTTGTCCAAAACAATACTAAATTATTAACTAACTGATTAATCAAGTAATCTTTGCTGCGTTATAGAAATCGAGTAAGGTTCTACAATAAAACTGGTTTATAATTAGTGGATTGTCTTCGACATTCACATCAATTGTGTGTATATTACATAGAGAGTCAAGCCATTCCATGATATAGTCAGTCAAAGTCAACTTTATTGTCAATCTTTCAGTTTGTGTGCACAGACAGAGAGATCGAAATACCTTTTCCCACAATCCCAAAGAATACAAAATACAAATATATATACAAATATGTATACAAATATGTATATACATATATATACACATTTATACATATGCACACATTAAAGACAAATAAAAGCACAACAATCAATATATACAAAATAACAGTGACTTCAAAATCTGTGAAAAATGTACATTTGTGCAAGGCTGTCCATAGCAGCATAAAAAGTGTCTGATGCTGGATATATCTACAAGAGTGATTCCCTAAAAAAGTTCTTCTTCTACTTCTTCTTCCTCGTTAAAGGTACCTGGCTCCTTGCAAATGACTTTTCTTGAATGACCTGGGGACCCTGTCCAGCCCTGAGGCCCCTGAATCATCCTCACTTTAACAGTGTCCCCCCAGTGGACAGTCACCGTTAAACTAACCACCAGCTCCTGGGCTGAAAACAGGCCCACCCATATGTTCAAGCCTTAAATACCTGACAAACAAATCCGCTGTTACTCCAGATTCCTGCAGGAAAGAGGATCTTAGGCTGGAGATAAAAGGGATGGAGAGATGGAGAGAGAGGTTTTGGGTGGATGTTGACGTTATACATCCTGTCTCCGTCAAGTAAGGCCAGAGGGCTCGACTCCCAGAGCGATTTTACAGTCAGTATAACTCTTCGTTATATCCGAACAACAGATTTGGTTACATCCACTTCTGTTTTGTACAAAATAATCCAGTGGGAAATATTTGCAATCAGTAACCTTATCGATAACAACAAAAAAGTAATGTTACCAGATTACATTCCGTTACTTTGGGATTACCTCAATATCTAATACAATGCCATTGAAGACAATACAAAGGAAATATCTATCAAGCATACATAGTAGTTTTGCTAAACACATCACGTGTCTATCTACAGCAGGGGTCCAAACTACGGCCCGGGCGCCAACTGCGACCCATTGTCCACTTTGAATTGGCCTTCAGCAAATTAACCAGGGCCACACCTGAAACTTGTGCTTTTCTTATATTCTACTCCTTAAACATATATGTAAACATATTATACAGTATTCATGTGTTAAGAAGCCCACTTTCAAATCAATTCAGTCAATTCAAATTGAACACATTTTCTAACAAATCTTAGTAGACACGTTAGTTTAGCTGCTATAGGCTTAGACTGTCGGGGGACACCTTACTTCTTCCTTCTGTCTGTACCTGTGTACTCTCATGTTCCGAATAACCCAGCTTCCCCAAATTTCTTTTTTGTTTCTATATCTACGCCGGGATCCTGAGTCGTGGCGTATCCTGTTGCTGTGGTCCTGTGTCCTGGATCCTTAGTCCTGAGTCCTGGATCCTTAGTCCTGAGTCCTGGATCCTGAGTCCTGGATCCTGTGTCCTGGATCCTCTATCCTGAGTCCTGGATTTGAGTCCTGGACTTCGAGTCGTGGCTGAACCTGTCACTGTGGTCCCGCCTGACTCTCATCATACTACTTCCCTGATGGCTCCCACAGGATTGTGGACATCCTCGTGGATTCATCTTCTTATTATAGACACATGCATTTCCAAACATTTGGTCTACCTACGCTGTAAAATGTATTATCTATCCGATTTACACACTGCATCTATTGCACGTCTCTCCGTCCTGGGAGAGGGACTCCTCTGTTGCACTCCCTGAGGTTTCTCCCATGTTCCCCTTTAAACTGTGGGTTTTCTCCGGAAGTTTTTCCTTGTACGATGTGAGGGTATAAGGACAGAGGGTGTCGTATTGTCATACTGATATTCTGTACAAACTGTGAAGTCCACTGAGACAAATGTAACATTTGTGATATTGGGCTATATAAATAAACATTGATTGATTGATTCAAGTATCAAGTATAATTTACCTACATTTTATTGATTTTGATCAATTATAACTCAACTTGGGCGGCTGTGGCTCAGTGAATAGAGTGCTGGACTTCGAATCAGGGGGTACCAAGTTCGAGTCCCACTGCAGTCAGCATGTCGTTGTGTCCCTGGGCAAGACACTTCACCCCGAATTGCTCCTGTGGGGATTGTCCATGTTACTGAATGTATGTAAGTCGCTTTGGATAAAAGCGTCTAACAAATTATATGTAACATAACTTCACCTCTAGTGAGGGACCCAGCCCTTCATATGTTTTTCTGTATGTAGCCCTGAGTGACAGTAGACACCCCTGATCTACAGCATTCAAACAAAAGAAGAAGAATGAAAGTAGCCTAAATGAAAACCTGCGATATCCTACCTATACTAAATAGTGGATTTCGAAATAGCATCATTTAGTAAGCATTTGCCTGTACCGTGATAATGAACTGGAAGATGAGCTTTGGTTTTACTTCGTAATATGTCAATCTTTATTCTAAAATGTATTATGTAGTACATTGTAATCAGGCAAGTGTTCCAGGTTTAAAAAAAGGAATTTTATCTGTTATGTTATGAAACTGTAAGGGAATACAGTGACCTTTTTAGTGTCCTGATGATGTCATCCTGTTACATTTATTCTCCTTACCCAAGGATGGTTAAAAGTCAACAATCACTTCAAAGAATAATTTGTAAAGGGCTACTTTAGTTAATTAAACATTGTGTTTCCCTTTGCAATTGACATAGGCCTAATACACATTTGATAAGGCATTCCTTCTAATTCCGGGTTTGGTTTTATCCTAATGGCACACAGGGCTGCAGCGGTAAAGTCGTTACTGCCACCTAGTGTCCCCCCAGCTCACTACACCATGATGCAGACTGGACCACTCTCCAGAGGCCTGGCCATAATGAAAAGGGCAAACAGGCCTACTGACTACATCGATCAGATTTGACAGTCACAGGAAGAGGGAGGCAGAGCTGTAATGTCTTCGATGCATATCAAACCCCCATTCATTCAACATCTTTGCAGAAGAGCTGTATAATTAGATTTCTCATTATAGATCACTCAATGATAGGACATGTGGTGTGGAGGACACATTGTGAATCGGAACAGAGGTTGTCCTGGGAGAGGTTAAAGCAGAATGGCAGCGTCCATTCCACATGAGCGCCTCCATCAGCCCCCTGGCCTTTTTTTATCCAGTTAAAGCCCGTGGGCATTTTTTTTCAAACATGGATCGTGACAATGTCAAAGTCATCAAAAATATGCAGCTTAATATGGGACATTAAATGACTGCCATGTTCTGTAGCATGAATGAAACGCTAGGAACGACAGCTGTTTTTCTGCTCCTATACTGCAGGGGATCTGAAGGAGCGCGTCCACCTCTTCTGTTGCAGCGATGCGCAGCCGTGCCGCATGACTCACAACCAACGGCACGGATGTAAACAGGGGGCGGGCTCAGGTAGGCCAAACCTGTACCTGCTCAGCCAATGGGTGCGCCGCGTTGCCCCTCTTTCGTCTCAAAACCGGCGCTTCTCATTGGTCCGCCGCCGCGTCGATACGCTGTAGAGAGGAGCGAGGCTCAGCGTTGCAATTTACACCGCGGAACGCAAGGAAGAGGGGGGCGAGGAGAAAAAACAGAGAGATTAATCTGTCAAATTTGTGTTCGGGATGAGACCGCTCTGACATTCAGCCGTGCGGAAAAACAGAAAGCCCACATGCGAAGACATTTTAATCACAGCAGTTGGGGATCAAGCTGATGCACCGCCATAGCAGGTGGTGCTTGTATAATCGTCCGGGGTCTCGTCTTTGCTGCCTGATCTGCGCGTCGCTTCAGCACTGGACAGCGACCATCGGAAAACACTGAGGCGGGGTAGGCTGCTCACAACACCAAACACCTTGTCATGATAACAGCTCACTGCATGCTATTGTCTTTTATTAAATATCAACCCGCATCTGCACGACGTTTGTTGTTGCCTTGGTTTCATGTCAATCGCGCGTGATTTGTGGATCCTTGTTTCAATATGGAGCCTCCACTCATCAAATGCCCTTGAAAGTAGAGGCTTCGTGTATGTTTGTGTTTGTGCGAAAGAGAGAGAGGTTATGGTGGTTCTGCTGAGCAACTGCGCAATTGTCTGTCCCTGTCTGTTCTCATCTCTCTCTTTTTTTTCTGCACCGCTCTCTTCTTTTGCTCCTCAGTCGGTGCGACCCTCGCTTGGCTCGGGGCAATGCGCGGCTAGATGACTTCACTCCACGAACAAGCACCGCGGTATCCTGGACTAATATAGCAGCGCCACAATCCCCCCTCCATCCTCTCTATCTCTCTCTCTCTCCATTTATATTCTCTGATCCCAAAGGCACCATGGGAAACCGTGGCATGGAGGATCTGATCCCGCTGGTCAACAAGCTGCAGGATGCCTTCAGCTACATCGGCCAGGCGTGCAACCTGGACCTGCCGCAGATCGCGGTGGTCGGCGGGCAGAGTGCCGGGAAGAGCTCCGTGCTGGAGAACTTTGTAGGCAGGTAAAAATGACCACCACAAATAGGATAATCCCTTCGCCTGGTAACCTTGAGGATGACATAAGAGGCCTATGGGGCCAATCTCTCTCAGTGGAGAGTTCAAACCATCCAGCTTTAAGGCTGTTGTTGTGATGAGCAGAGACCTTCACGAGCAGAATATTATTTTATTATGGCTCCTGACAGAGTGGTATTTGGGTTACAGCAGCATCTTTGGGGATTTCACACTGCAGTCTTCCTCAGTCCTAGAAATATCAGTTCCCAAGCACCCTTTGCAAGGCATTAATCAGTTGACCCCCAAAAATATGATGTCATATGCTGTGTTGTATAAACTGCTGGTTGCAGAGATGCATCACTGCACGTGTTCATTTTAAAAACACCATCCATACTGTAGGCTATATGTCAGCTCCCACTCCTGAGAACACACATGAATATTCATCTTCTCGCTCTGGATTTTGGTCACTCGCAACAAATTAATTATGAGCAGGAGCTTTGTTTTTTTTAATTCAAGGCAAGGATCAGGCAGCCAGGGGTGACATGATGTTGCTCACATCAAGTACAGTGTTAAATCAGTCCATTTGAAATACAGACACATCCCACAACAACTGCCCAACAATGTGGTTCCTTTCTGTGTTAGAGCACATGCATTCAAGAGGGTTGGATATATATATTTTCAGTAATTGTCCATTTCAGGATTTGCTGTAAAATGCACTTAAGTAATTAGTAGCAGTTCATGTGCTGTCGCAGTGTCTATGCAAATGTAATTCATGTTAAAAATTAAAGTGTCACTTCACCAGATTTCTACATAAAGGTCATTGACTCGCTATTGAGAGCACTATTAGGCCTCTGAAAGCAGCTGTATTATAATGTGGCTCTGGAGTTCGCTTTTCAAAATGTGTCACCTTGACAATGTCATCAGGGTCATTTATGATGATGTCATTAAGGTTGTTTGAATTTGGGCAAGCTCTTAGTAGAAAACATTGGGAACTGGAGATGTTGAGGAACAGAAAACAGAGCAGGACATATAAGAAAAGATGCTGTTGAGTTGCATTATGGGAAGGATTGAATGCGTTTGAAGCCTGACCAATTGTAGGGAATTATCTTTGCTTCTGTTGCTGCAATTTCAAGCTTTTATTCATTCTGTCGCTCACAAGTCCCCCAATTTGTGGAAGTGCAACATGAGCTGGATTGTCTTCAGTGGCTTCTTTCTGTGCCGTTTTGAAATGCATGTGTGCAGCTCCAGATGGATGCATTGATTTGTCCAGTTCCAGCCCTCATTGAGAGTCGTGCTGCTGAGTAATGGTCCATCTGTCCAGATCTGGCCCTGCACAGCGCTAAATGGACAAGTAGTGGGCTTGTCTTTATTTATTTTTAACCTCTTCCCACTTGAGGGAGCTCCGTGGGTCGGTATGTATTAATAAGGTTTTCTTGGAACAGACCTTTAGCACAGGATAGGGGTTTGAGGGCTGTGGTCAGGTGTGTGACATTGTAATCAGAATAAACATACAAGGAATTTGCTTTTGTGGTGCTTACATCCACACAATAACAAGAATTCAGTTGTCAAAAAGCAGGAAATATATAACTTTTTTTCAAAGGCTATTGTAAAATGACCAATTACAAATAAAAATAAAACAAGTGCAGTATATAGAATTTAAAGTGGAACAGCAGTGCAATTTTAAGAGGTATTATTTTTAACACAAGTAGGAAAATCTAAAGCCAAATGTGCAAAGTGCACGGTATTTTATAAGAGAAAAGGATCACATGACGACAGTAAATGTAACACCTCATGTCTATAAGGGAGTAAAGACAGTCTACATGTCAGTTGGGGTCACTGGCCTTGTAATGGACACATTATCCCACACACTCAAAACAAGTTGGTGTTGAACCTCTCCGAAAATGGAGACGTTATTGTTTAAATAGGAGGGCTCTTAATCAGGGACGCTGCTCTTTATTTGGACCTGTTGTTTATCAGGCCAGATTGTCCTCTTGTGTTGCAGCAGCAGCAGCTGAAAGCTTTAGGAGTTACTGTTTTATTTAAAAATGGCCTCCATTCCACTCATTGGACTGGTGCGAAGCAGATTAGTGACATTGAAGGGCCTACAGTGGCTGTCATTCCATTATATAAGGTATAATTATAATACATTTGCCCTTCAAAGGGAAAAGAAAGCCTCAAGATGAAGATACCATTAAGTCACAAATAGCCATGCCTGTAAACTCTTTGATGCATGTTTTATTGACTGTGGTTTGATGGAATGAGTTTTGATTGGCTGTCTTTCCTCAGGGACTTTCTGCCCCGTGGATCTGGCATTGTCACCCGCAGGCCCCTGGTTCTGCAGCTTATCAGCGCCACTGCAGGTGGGTGCGCACACCCCCACACATGCTAGCATTCACACTCAAACACAGCCTCCCCCTCTTCATTTAAAAAAAATGTCTGTGTTTTTTATGCTTTCTTTTTTTCCCTTCTCACACTGGCATCATGTTTGCTCTCTGCTGCCACCAATAATCCCATTTATATATCTCAATGTTCCTCCCTCCTAGAATGGGCTGAATTCCTGCATTGCAAAGGGAAGAAGTTCACAGACTTCGATGAGGTCCGTCAGGAGATCGAAGCGGAGACGGATCGCGCCGTCGGGGCCAACAAAGGCATATCCCCCATCCCCATCAACCTGCGGGTGTACTCCCCTCACGGTGCGAAGACATAACTCAACTTACACTGTCAAGTATAGAGCTATTTCAGGGTCAACCTCATATGCATCCTGCAGGTAGCACCCACTATTATGACCTCTTACTTCTTGAAAGGCTGAGATACAGATCGACGGTTATAATTGCTAATTATTAACAAGGCCTTTATTGGTTTTACACAAACATTTTCTTCTTAATGTTTACATTCTAAGAGGGAGATTCAGTATATCGTGCAGTCCTATAGGTAAAATGAAAATGGAGTGATAGTTCCCTGGTGATTCCCATAACATTTGCAGGTATTTCTATCCTGGAGGCCATTGCACCTAATGTTAGCAAGAGCAAATGCAGCCCAGATATAATGTAGTCTTTCATCAGTTTCATTAAAAACATACAGTTTTTTTTAAACAGAGACTAATGATATTTTGGTGATTTTGGGTCGGGGGTCAACTGTAACTAAACATATGGTTTTCATTTCAAATGAATTGTTCATGCTGAAGAGGACACTAGTAAAACATAAACCACTTAGCTAATAAATAAGTTAATTAAATAATGAATACCCCTTTTTGACTCACAATAGGCCACAGTAATGTTGAGCATCCATGTACACATTCAAGTACATGTTACAATGCACCTTTAAAACTGCGATTCAGCATTATTTATATACAAATATGTTTATTCTTTTTTATTAAAAACATTTTTGTACTGCTAATTATTACTTAAACATTAAATACAAATATTTTCTTGTGCACATTTGACTCTTAACTTAAATATTTTAATTACATTTTTTAATTTATCTTTTATTTTATTCTAAAATGGAGCAACTGTAATATTCTAATTGTGATTCTTCCGTGTGTGCAGTGTTGAACCTGACCCTCATCGATCTGCCGGGGATCACCAAGGTGCCGGTTGGTGACCAGCCGGTGGACATCGAGCAGCAGATCAGAGACATGATCATGCAGTTCATCACCAGAGAGAGCTGCCTGATCCTGGCCGTTACCCCGGCCAACTCTGACCTGGCCAACTCCGACGCTCTCAAACTGGCAAAGGACGTCGATCCACAGGGTAAGGAGAGAGCGAAATGGAAATAAATGCAGCAGCTAAAAGGCGACCTTGTGGTTAGTGGGACTGACCTGAACAATACATTGATTCTCCGTCAGCTGTAGCGATGGTGCTTACCTTGTTCTCTGACCTCTCTGAATGTGGAAGCAGAATTGATCCACAGGGAGAGTCATTATTATTAGAAACACGGGGCTGAGAGAAAGGGAAAATAGAGGACAAGGAGAGCATCAAAAGATAGGAGAAAGAGGAAAATATGATAGAGATTTCCATACACAAAAACTGAGGCTAAGGAGAAAGGAGAAAGGAGAAAGGTATTTGATACCCAAAGAGTTTGACCTTCAGACAGGAGGTGAGGACACAGGAATGGAAAATGAGTTAGCTTGGAAGAGGAGGACACATTCACCTTGTGGGTTGGGTGAATGATATCAGACTTGGAGAGTGAGGTAGAGGAATACAGGGGGAGCCAAGCCCAGAGTAAGCACATTGTCATAGTGGCCAAATGGAGTTACTATCCCTCTGTGGCAGTGACAGAGCGGGATGTCATTTGGGCCCCAAAAATACTTTTAACCATTGGCTTACACTTGGAAAGAGACATCTGTGAATCAGTGGATAACAGTTGTAAGTGAATGACTCCAATCCGCTACGTGACGGGGCTTAAGGAAATGCGAGTGTGCATGCTCTACAGGCCCTATGGATGCAGGAGATCGCTGGAAGATCCGGGTATTCTTTTTCCTGTGAGTCAGGCCATTTATGCTTCATGCACCACTGAGCAACTTTCATAGGAGTAAACGCCCCCCCCCCCAACATTTCATCCAGTTCTCTTCATACAGCCATGGGGGGGAAAGGAGGAAGGGATGCTAACGGACAAAAATGCTTCAAAGGAAGAAGGAAGAAAGAAACATGGAAGAGGGAAAGACATAAAGGATATGGATGCAAAACTGCATTGGAAAAAAACCATCTGAAAACATTCATTTTTAAGAAGCTGGGTATATTTTCACTCTGTAAAGGTCACCCAAATGATGAATACAAAGACAGTGCCTTAAACTTCCAAACAGCATTTGATAAATTCTGTTACATCATCCCTGCCTATTTGTGATCCCTTTTCTAGGTCTGAGGACTATTGGAGTAATCACCAAACTGGATTTGATGGATGAGGGAACAGATGCCCGAGAAGTACTGGAGAACAAGTTGCTGCCGCTGCGAAGAGGTGTGTGTGTGTGTTTTACAGTAGATTGAGCTTTGCCAGGTCTTGTATTCTCTTTTCACTCTCAAATTCTCTCTGTGCACTTAATCACTGTATCCAAACACAATCCTATCATGCCTTCTCTCTGTTTATATCCACGTATTACCCCTGCCTTTACCTCTTTCATTCTTTCCCAGGTTATATTGGAGTGGTGAACCGCAGTCAGAAGGACATTGATGGAAAGAAAGACATCAAGGCAGCTCTGGAGGCCGAGAGGAAGTTCTTCTTGTCCCACCCGGGATACAGGCACATGGCTGAAAAAATGGGCACCCCTCGGCTGCAGAGAGTGCTCAACGAGGTGATCATAGATTTACTCCCAGTGCTTTTCCACAGTGCACTTTACATAATTAATAACTGGGCGGCTTTTTATTTCTTCACTTCCTTTGTACCGCACATCAGTGTGGGTGATGCGTGACTGTCAGTAGGTGGAAAATGCATTTGTTCTTTCTAGTTCGGCTCCGAATAATTGATCATTTCTCTCAGGCAGGCATTCCATATTTCCTTGCATTTTTATTGCATGAAAGTTATCTACAATTACTGTGAATGTAGAGACTAAATCTCCAATAACATAGTCGCTAAGAGGCTAAATCAAGCTTGTTACTTTTGGTACTCTTTGTCCCAGGAAGAAAACAGCAAACCTCTGAAGAGATGGACTATGTATGTCATGATAAAAAATAAGGGCTAAAAAGCATTGAGGCTCCTACAGTGAAGAATAGTATTTTTATTGTTACATCACTGTACAGCCAAAATGCCAATGACATTTTTTTCCTCATCGATGCTCCCGTGTGATTGTATTTTGTTTAGTTTTGTCGGATTTGTGTCTCCACAGCAATTGACCAACCACATCCGGGACACCCTGCCAGCTTTCCGCAGCAAGCTGCAGTCCCAGCTGCTGGCTCTGGACAAGGAGGCAGAGGAATACCGGGGATACCGACCTGATGACCCGTCCCGCAAAACCAAGCAGCTGTTGCAGTCAGTGCCTCCTTTTTCTCTGCATCAATTTAGTCATAAAGCTTGACTATCCTGCAATATATCTTACCTAATTAATTTCTCCCATGGCACCAATTTCCAATAGCAGGGTGTAATTTCTGGTCTTTTTTTTGTATCATTCTTATCTTTATTTGTGGTTGTTTCAGGATGGTGCAGCAGTTCTCTGTAGACTTTGAGAAAAGGATTGAAGGCTCAGGTGATCAGGTGGACACAGTGGAGCTGTCTGGTGGAGCCAAAATCAACCGCATATTCCACGAGCGTTTTCCCTTTGAGCTGGTCAAGGTGATATGTCGAACAAATTGTAGAAAAAGATGGCACTTAAAAAAAACAAGTGAAAACATCTGATGGGGTGTAGTTATTTTACGCAACAAATTTGAAATACAAAAAACACCCATCCATCCATCTATTCTACCCTGTTCTCCCTGTGTGGCAGCTACCAGCAGCAGGCGTTTAGCTTAGCACAGAGACTGGAAACAGGGAAACAGCTAGCTTGGCGAAGGCATCAACATCAACATCCCAAGGCCTCCAAAGCTCACTAACTCACGCTTTATAATAGTTAGTTAAATCTTTACAAAGAAGTGAAATATATAAAAAAAGTTTGTTGTTTTGATGTGCTGGATCAAGACAAGCTTGCTGTTTTCTCTTGACCAGAGTTCTAGGCTAAGCTAACCAGCTGCTAGCTTAAGGGGACACTCATCAACAGCAGAGTTTTGAATTTGCTCTTTTTCAGGGACTGATTAGAACCATATTTTATTAAATGTCATAAACAAAGGTAATATAGGACAAAAAACTAAGACCAGGCTTAGAATACTGAGCCTCTGAACTCGATATCTTTAATAGCTGTTGCTCTGAGTCCTTTGCCTTATTCTGTCTTGAGATAGTGAGGCTCATCTCTTGAATATTCGTGAAACAAAGGAAAGTGGATGGGGAACAGTTGAAATAATGACACCCCCAGTAGACTTCCTTTTTCTAATTTTAGGACAATTAACTCTTGAAGGCTGAATATAAAACTAAATTAACCTTTTTGCAGAGTTTATTTCCTCCTTTAGTTTTCTTCTGTTTCCTCCCATACACATTGTATAATCTCTGTATCTTCTTACAGTCTCTCTTTAGTATACCCTCAGCATGATAGCTTCCCTATGAATAATACATCTCCAAATGCATAGTGCAAATGCTGCTTTTTCCTCTCTTTTTTAACCTTACAATTATTCTTTATTATCTCTGTCATCCTCTCTTTTGTCATGCCGTCATCTTTCAAATGTTTACAGCTCATCTAAATTCCTCTTCTCTGTTCCCCTCAGATGGAGTGTGATGAGAAGGAGATGCGTCGCGAGATCAGTTATGCCATTAAGAACATCCATGGTATCAGGTAGGAATTTGTCCCCCAAAATATGAAAATAGATTATCTTCAATAACCTCTGCTGTTGTTCCAGAGCATCTATTTGATATACCAACCAGTGATGCTATCACTACCCTTTGGCATTATAAAAACATTTATTCACAAGCTAAAGACAGACAAATATGTTGATTTTGAGCAGAAAACATCACAATAGAAATACAAATGCATGAATTTGGTTGATAATACATCCCTTTGATGGGAATTTATGAATAAGGGAGAAGCATGTCATTTTTTTTTAAAATGTTCAGTCTAGCCGCTGTGTGTTTCTATATTGGCTCAGTACAGTGGCGTAACAAGGTTGTGATTGGCCCCGGTGCAAATATTGTTTTACAGTCTAATTTTGTCAGTTTAGCTGTTACATCTCCTTGTTCTCTCTTGTCCTTTCTCTTTTGGGCGCCGCTCTTGTGCTTTGGTTTGCTGCACATTATAAATGCAAGCTATTACATATTTTATAATGCTACCGAACTTGCTGCTGCTAGCTACAACAGGTTGATTAAACGGTTCGCTCGTCACGCAAGGTATCACATGACATGAAAGGTAGCAAGGTCATAGGACAGACAAATTACAAATTAATTTAGGTTGCTTGGTTACTTTGAAGACTGCGTGAAACGGTCAATGCCATTGAGGCCAATATATATATATTATTTTAATTTTATTTTTGCATTGGCCCCTGGCCGGGTCTGGGCCCTGGTGCGTTTCACCGGCTGCACCGTCAATAGTTACGCCACTGGTTGCTACCATAATAGTATATCCGCACAACTCATGGGGATAAGTAAGACATGGGGCACAATACCCAAAAATATATACAAAGCTAAGCTACACAATACTGCTCCGACACAGGAATGGACACATACACAGCAGCCGGTGAACATTTCCCACCTTGCTGCTGTTTCGCTGGTCAAGAGGGAGAGGAGCCGACAGAGAAACGGAGCAGTGCTTGTCAAATCTTCAGCAACACTTCCTTCTACATGAGACTGATGGCTTGATGAAATATTCCCTCAGCAGAGTCTGACCTCGCTTTACTCCATGCCTTTCATCCCTTCTGCCAAGGTAAGAGTTCCCTGTCACAACTGTGGATCTGTGATCTCTCAGAGTCAATACCCATGAAAAGAAAGACAGGTCCTGGAGACCAAAGGTGGAAAAAAAAACATTTGATATGGTTTTGCAACTATTCACTTGTAACAACGGCAGAATATACAGCATACTGCAATAGGGAGACAGAGAGAGAGGAAGACATAACACAAGCAGTAAAGAAAATAAAAAAACTGGTTGGAGTCTTATTTACAACACTCGCTCCACTTGTATCCGAATAATACAGTTACCAGGCAACCAACACAACATTTTGGTAAATTCTGGCCAGCTGATATTGAACAAAACGCTTTCCAGTGCACTCTCTCATTCCCCCATTTGACCATGCTCCAGTATGAACATTAGTATTCCCACTTGATTACACAATGGCCCCCTCTTACATGCTTTCAATACATCTGATTGGAGAGAATATACTAAGGATATCTAAGAAACTGGCACCTGAAATGTATCAAATAAGGCTGTTGTTAATACATCGAGTCATTTTAACCTTATCCTTTAATTCCTCCTTTACCAGTGTCTCATGTGCAGTAAATTGTTACCAAAAAATGTAGAATAAAGTTACAAGAAGAATACATGTTGTCCACCATTTTCTATCATGACAAGCTATTTTTTGGTGTGGAAACAGGCATTCAAGGCAATAGGATTGTTCAATATATATTGTAAATCAGTATTTTATTACTTGAAAAAAACGTTCTGCTTTACTTTAACTACCACTGTATTTCTTTTCAATCCACTGGTTCATTGGACCAGTAGATTTACAGTGTGGTGGATGTTCCAATTGGCTGCTGCACCAAACTGAGCAGTACAACAGCAGCAATATAGCTGATTGTATCAAGTATAAGTTGCTATAAATTGGAATTGCTCTGCCCCCTACTGGTTAAAACACTTCCTGTAGCTTGAAGTTCATTTCATGGTGTCTTGCATGTACACAAAATAGTGTTTGGTGAATGCTCCATAGTTCCTTGACTTAGAAACCAGTGTTCTGTAAGTGAAAGTCCACTAATATTGAGAGAATTTGGATCTGTCCTGGAAGGAAATATGGTATAATCTGCATACATTTCATCATCACAAAAACCTGGTTTATAACTCATTATTTTAGATAAAAATAATAGTTTTGTTACCTATGAAGAGTAGTAATTGTTCTATGAACATGAAGATTCATTCAACCCGCTTTTTTAGTATCAACCTATACCCAGCTTGAAGCTATTGGTGCATTTGTATTTAAACGCACGCTGTTTTTGAGACTGAAAAAAGTAAGTGACAGTATGGTGACAATAGGAAAAGCTCTGACATGTAAGCAGGTGGTGCTCTGTCTCCATCACCGTCAGCGGGGCGCCGTCATAAATAAACTGTGTGATAGTTCATAAAGACACCACCTACTGTGACACACACACTTACTGACACACACACACACTTACACATACTGTGATCATAGTATTCCCTTAGGGTATAACTCTCCTGGGAGGACATGTGTTCATTCCCAACATCCTTCCTGTTTTCCTCTTCGTTTCCCTTCGTTTTCTGCCTTCTACTTAAGTTCATTTGGGAGTTTGTCTTACCTACCTTTCCATATATTCTCTGCCTCACTTTTAACTTTATTTTTCTCTTCCCTTTCTGTTTTTATTCCCCCTCTGGCTTACTTTTTCACAGAAGCAGATATATTCGGAGTCTGACATGCAGTGAAAAGCCTATGGAGATCGATGTGTGCAGCGTGGCTCTCTGAGCTGTCACATGGCATGATGGAGAGTTTAGCTTATCTTTCCTACAGAAGCAGCTGTTTTGCAATATGTTTGATGTACTCCGGGACCTTGGAATCCAACCAATATTCCACCGGTGAGCAGATTGCTGTAAAACCTTAACACGCTCTTTGTCAACTTATGACTTGGCTGTACTGTACATGGAGCCATCGACCCACTCGGGCAATAAAACATTGAGGAGAATAAACATTGTGACACATATTCATCGCACACACACATGTGACTATTTTCATTATAACAGATTCATAAGGATAAAAACAGCTCAGAATTAACATAAGCAAATGTATTTAAATCACATTTCATTTAGCACAGCTTTTGCTAAGGGCTGCAATTCATCTCAGGGTAATAAAGGAGATGGTAAACAGTGTTAATAGATGGAATCAAGCTTACTTAACTCAGCTTATTGCCGCCATACTGCAAGCTTTATTAGATCTGTCTACCTTGCTCTTGTTTTCTCCCATTACAGGGAGACACACATCTGTTTGTTTTGTCATTTAATCTAGCATATTTGATTTCCACTCCTTAACACAATTACACATACATTCCCTGTCCACGGTAGACTCATCTGCTCACGCCCATGTAACATACACGTGTTCGCATGTTCGGAGGCTCACGTGTTGAAAAGCGTATACACACACTTTTAAACATTTGCTTCGTTCACGCTAAAGATGGTTCACAGCAGTGTTTACAGGAAATGCCTTCCAGATTTAGTTATTTTTCATGCAGAAAATAGCTAAATCTGGTGAATCACCATCACTACACCATGTGTGAAAGGCATGAGGCAATCTGGACCCCAGAGCTGCTTTTAGTTTTCTATTTCCTGTTAGCAACACAACAATCAACTCACGTAGTGTCTTTATAAATAAATTGAAAAACAACTATGTAGTCGAACACTGTTAACAACATGTAGGAACTCTGAGTGGTTGCTATAGTTTGAAATGGAACCGTGGATATATGTGAAGAAGGTCTGGGATTGTTTGAGAATACTGGATGCAAATACATTTTTTTACCTCTTTGAAACACCCGTGTTGTGTTGACAATGTGAGCCTGGTCCTGAGGCAATACGCAAAGACAATGGCTCAAGGGAGTCACCGTTCATTTCTTATTGTCAATGGCCTCCAGTTAAAAACAAACTGAACACACAGGGGTAGCGCACCTGATGGACTGCCTCCACTCTGGGCTTTAGTTCATTGAAGCTGCTCTTGTTTCTTTGACTAAAGATTGCTTATTTAAAAAAAAAAAAACCGCCTGATGTATATATAGAAATGTATTCATTGGGATAAACCCCTTGAGATGCACCATCTCGTTTTCAAGGGGGTCCCGAAAAATGAAAGCACAACTGCAATGTAATTCAATGTAATATATATTTTAAATGTCCTGAAGCAGAAGTGATGAAAAATGAAGAGGCACAAATGAATAATGAAGTGTCCAGTAAAGTGTATAAATACAACGGAAAAGGAATTATCCCACATGCCGGCTTATCAAATAGCATTAAAAAGTAAACCAAATGAAACATTGAAACATTGACATAGCATTTAGCTCATTTCTGGGATGGTTATGTCGGATGTAACATACGCTCACCAACCATCATTAATATTTAATTACAGTGGCAATTACACTTTTGGCCCGCACTATGTTTCAACTGTGAAACAGATTTTGTATGGACATCTGCCACACAATTAGAAATAAGTTTGTTTGTGGCACTGACAGATGTTCTTATTCATTAGCAAACCATTTCTAATTTGCAGCAAGTTTAGCTGAGAAAATTAAATATGTGAAATGTGTAGATTAATGAGAAAAATCCTCTGTTTTCACCTTCAATTTCTTACTTAGTCTTGGCTCCAGCTCCCAAGTTGAAAGGAACCTTTCTAGTGCAGAACTGTCTTCTTTTCACACACAATCCACAGTGCATTAAGAAGAGGCTCAGTGACAGCGGCCTGCTGCTGTTAATAACAGGACATTTTGGTTTATAGCTCTTCCGTCACTTGACTTCACAGCTGTTCTATAAGAAAGGTCACAGTCTGCACGCCTTCACAAGAACACGTACATTTCTAACATCAACTGCACATATTCTTGGACTTCCACACTAACACAGAACACATAGACAACACAAATAACTCAACCAAATTGCAAACCTCACA